CTCCAAAGCGGGACATTCGGGTTAGCAGGGGTTGGCAGAGAAGAGCCAACTGCATGTAGGTGAGCCAGGGAAGACAGGGCTGGTACCCTGTGATGTCCCAGTTTGTGGACGACTGGTGCCATGGTGAAGCCTTCTCGCCCAGCACCTCGCATGCAACTTGCAGACAGGGCCTTTGATGAGATAAGTAAAAATGAGCCTGTTAAGAATGGCCCCTAATCCAGTCTGACTGGCTTCATCTTATGAAGGGAGAATTTGGAGATGGCCGAGAGACATGAAGGGCCTGTGTGAACAGAGAGGACCATGTGAGGACAGACAAGAAGGTGGCAGGAGGTCGCAGGATAAGCCAGTCTCGAGGCTCAGTGAGCCTCCAGGTCTGGGCAGAAGTAAATTTCTGTTTGCACACCCTACCCAGCCTGTGGTCCTTTTTCGTGGCAACTGTTGGACACTCTCAGCAGAGGCCTTCTGACCGCATTGGGATGCTCCTGGAGTTCTCCTCTGACTAAAGGCTGTTTCTCCAAGTCCACCCTGTTCACAGTGAGGCTGTGCGGAGGTGGACGTTTGTCCTGAAGTCCACATGGTGGTTTTAGTGTGAATGGTGTTGTGTGTGGTCGAAGAGTGAGGTGGGCTTAGAGATAGGTCACTTCAGTTGTGGCCTTCCAGAGCACCGTCCGCAGCAAAAGAAAGATTATGGAATCTTTGAGCACATCTGGAGCTTGCTTTGTTCTGCTTGGGGTGAACATGCATGTGATTTGTCTGGGATGACCCAGTCTGGTTCAGAAGTTCCTTCCCTGCAGCCCTTTCTACATATAAATGGCAATCCTTTCCCTCGAGTCAAGCAGCAACCCTGTCTTTCTTCTGGCTCCTTCTAGCACATTGTTTGTGGTGCTCTAAATCTTGTGTGTGGAAGACCTTTCCTCTCGCCTGCGAATCCCAGCCTGACTGGTAAATGATAGGTCCTCACTATTCCCAGCTTCTCACCCGGGCCGGCTGCGTCGCAGCTGCAGGCTGTGCCGGCTGGGTGAGGGACTGGGGCCGTCTGATGTTCCCAGACGCCATGTTCTAAAACCACATGCTGCATTGGCTCAGATTGGTGCTGTGTTTGATGCTTTCTGCAGAAACGCCAAAAACAGAAGAGAGATGTTTTAAAACAGTGGATGAAATTGGCAACTGCATTGCCAGAACATCCTTGTTTTGTCCTGAGTGGCTTGCTGAAGTCTAGGCAGTCTCTGACAGAGCTGGCAATGGAGGAGGAGCTCAACCCTGGTTCTGCAAGGCAGCCTTGGAGGCGGGAGGCGCCAGATGGCACGCTCATGAGTGGGTATTCTGCAGTCCTGGGATGCCCACTAGAATTCTCCAGTTGACTCGCATCTTCCTCACGGGGGAAATGTAAATGCCCGTCATCTGTTAGAGCCGCCCCTCTCCCCAGCGATGAGCTTTGTTGACTTCTTCTCCGTCTTCCTGGTCGCTTTAGACACCAGTTAGCCCGCTTGCTCTCATTCCTGACCCCTCCCCTTTGGAAACACACCCAGGTGCTTCCTGCTAAAGACTGTCAAGTAGACACGACCCTTCCTCGATTCCTCGCGTCTTCAGCTCCCTTCTCTTGTCTCCTCTTCATAGCCAAGATTATCAAAACGCCATTCATCCTTCTTACCTCTTCACCCACCACCGCTCAGAGCCTCCATGAGCCAAGTGACCAGCAGCTACTCTAGATCTCATCTTTCTTGAGCTTTCCACAGTTCTGGATATTCTTCCTTCTGAAGAGAGTCTTCCATGACACAACTTGCTCCTCGTTTTCCTACTGTCCATCTGCCGTTCCCTGGCGATGCTGTCAGGGCTAAGGCATTCTGCCCTCTGCACCCTGCATCCATCTTCCTGTGAGGAGTCGGGCCATTCTGCCCAGGATTCTCCCTAGAGCCCTGGCGAAGAGAGTCCTACTGATGTCATATGCTCTCTTATGAAAACTAAGGGCACCTTATGAAACCCAAGTGTCCAGACTCCTTCCATGCTGGCCTTCTTCCAGAGTTTCCTGGCTCTGAAAATGGCACCTATATCATACAGATGCCCAGGGTGGAAAGTTCCATGTTGTTCCCTGCTCCCCTATATGCCACATCCAGTTCCGGTCTAACTCTGCTTCTGCTGTCTGGTCCAAAATGCCACCTCTGTTTCCTGGACAATTGTAATCGATCAACCTGCCTCTGTTCTGGCCCCTTGTGTCTGTTCTCACACTGCCAGTCTATTTGTTTTGATGTGGGGAACTTCCAGAGTTAGTCCCACACTTAAAACCCTTCTTTTGCTTCTGGGATAAGGATAGAGTTTCTTAAGAAGGCCTTGGTGGGGCCTGGCCCCTTCCTGACCCCCCAGTCCACCATCGCTCTGCCGCCATGTTGGTCTCCTTTCACGCAGGGGTTGAGACAGGTGTCTTTAATGCCTGCCCTCACATGGCGTCTTACTCCTCCTCCCTTCGGGCTTCCGCACTGTGTCCCACTCAGCTCCTCCTAGGATTTGGTCAAACCATTTCATTGCAGACACGAAGTCCACTGAGACTTCCCTCCAGTTTGTCTCAGGCGCTTTTCTACTTTTGTGAGGAGGCTTTTGGTTTCTGTCTGTCCTCATTAGATGTGATGCTTCTTGAAACGGGGACCTCATTATGGTCCCAGAGCTCGGCATAGGAACACAGTCATTTTTCACTGACTAGATGAGCTGGAAGAGCAGAATTTGAGTCCCAACTTCAGGCAACTTTATTTTACGAATCTGTTTTTTTTTTTGTTTTTTTTTTCATCAAATGGAGGTACTTTTGCCTCCTTATCCATCTCTTAGGATTCTTAGGAGAAAAATGATATATTTTGCAAATGATGATTGAGATTTTGCATGATTAAACACTCATTTTCAGCCGGGGGCTTATGAATACGGCAGTGGAGATAACTCTCAGTCAGAGTCCATTGTTTGTTTTCTCTAGTAATAGAGCAGTAGGGAGGGTGGGGGAATATAGAAACGATAATGTCATTATGAAATCTTGTTTATTCAAAAAGGTGATGGGGAAGATTAACTTGAGTAAGTAGGTTTAAAACTTCTAGTTTTTTTTTATGAGACTTATAAGTGCTCACAAATAATTCAAATAGTGCAGAAAGCCAGAAAAATAAATCATCTATCTTCTCACTTCACAAGGACTTTTTATCTCATTCTGAAATACCCATCAAAAATGCAAGTTTTAGGGGCTCCCTGGTGGCACAGGGGTTACAGTCTCAGCACTATGAAGCTATCAGCAGCCACTGCAACAGAGATTGACCCCCAGCCCGGGAGTGACCCACAGACCTCTCCTGACCCGCCCACTGCTCCCCTCAGCAGTGTACTTCGTCGATCTGCCAGTTCTGCTCCCCACTCTGTCTCTGGTGAATCTCTCAAACCTCCTCCCCCACCCCCATACCTCTAGCCTCCACCCCATTCTTGTATGCATACATAAAATAAACCTTCAAAAAAATGATGTGCCTGGTAATGTCATATAGCTGTATGGGAGACTATTCAGATGACTTAAAACTTTTTACTATTTTTTTTAATGCTGCGTATATAAATTTTTGTGTGCTTAAATGCATAGTCTAACCAAGTTGAATTACTGGTTGAAAGTACATGTGCTGTTTGATTGGTCATTATTCCCTGGATACTGTCCAGAAGTGCTGCCCCGGGTTCACTCGCCCACCACTGCAGTGAGGCCTGGCTGCCCTGTTCAGACACACGTCTGCGGCCTCTGCTCTTCCCCAGAGGCAACTCACTGGGTGATACTTGATCAGTTAAGTTTGTGCTTGTGTAAATGACTCCTGTTTTTGAACATTTACCAGTTAGTCATTGGCATATGACTTCATCAGTTTCCTGGTTTTTGCAGAGTTTTCTGTAGGAGTATTTGTCTTTTTCATGTTTACCCATAAACCCTCATATTTGGCTTTTTATAAACCCCTGTTTATATTAAGCACATCAGCCTTGGTTGCGACTGTGAAACCGGCAACTTTAGTCGAATCCTCTCTAAATGATCACAAGTTCAAGGGGGGTTTGAAGAGAAGCGTGTGCTGAAATGGCTTGATATGTCCCCTTGTGCTTTACCCATAAGGGGGCTGGGTTCCTCCCTCCGCCGCTCTAACCCTGAATATTTTCTGCTGGTTTACACGCAGCAGTGTGAATGGGTGAACAGTCTGCCCTCTGGGTTGAGGCCTAACTCTTGCACCCTTGAGCTGAGGACCTGGCACAAGATACGGAAGCCCCAGGATGCTCCCAGGAACAGGATCCTTCTGGCTTTGTCTTCAGAGGGAAATAGTTGCTGGTATTCTGTCAGTATTCTGCTCCCTTTCTGTCTCCCTCATGGAGGCCTGGAAATCCACGCGCACAGGATGCTGTTTCGGGGAGCATGAATACTCACTCTGGTCACAGTCCGACGTACAATTATTCGTTAACTTTTGCTGATCAGATAACAGTGATAAAGTGAAAGGAGAAAAATACTTAGCTGAAATAACCATTTCCTTCTAAAAGATTTTAATTTGGGGGCTCACCCTGGTGGCACAACAGGTTAAAGCGCACCACTGAGAAGCTGTCTGCAGCCACTGCAGTGTGAGTTCGATCCCCAGCCAGGGAGTGACCCACACGGCTCCTCTCCTGTCCCACCCACTGCTCCCCTCAGCAGTGTATTTCAATCAGTCTGCCTGTCTGCTCCCCACTCTGTCTCTGGTGAATCTCCTCACCCCCTGTACCTCTGATCTGTACTCCAGTTTTGTATGCATAAATAAATAAATCTTTAAAAACAATTTATTTTGAAGTTCAGTGATACTATTAGTAAATTCAGAATTGTTTTATAAAAATGGTAGATGACATAAGAGTTGGCATTCTGGAGGGAAAAAGAAACAGACACCTGCAAATACTCAAACCTATTTTGATTTAAGCAGCTCCAGATAAAATCTCAAAATACTTGCTCTCCTTCATTGAGAATTTGTCTCAATCTGTTCTTTTTTTCTTTGTAGGTGTGGCTGGATCTCTTAAAACCTATTGTCAAGCAGATTAGAAGTAAGTATGCACTGTGCCTTCTCAACAGAAACCCTCATGTGCTCATTTGGAAGGTTGTGCCTGCCCTGGGCCATCAAGCACAGGGCAACGAGGCTTCTTTTCCCTTCACCCCCATGATTGCCTTCCGTCAGCCCCCAATCCACACGCTGCTGCAGTGTGTCTTGCAATTTTAACACAGAACAATTTGTAATCAAAACCTTGCTTGGGAAATCAAATACCACTTTGATTAAGGACTGAAAGCATGCTATTAAACCCCAGAATAATTGGGCTCTCTTGTCTACCCATGTGTCTTGCTTTCACTTTTACAGGGAGAAGGTGGAATATTTATTCATAAAAATTGGTGTTAGGTTGTCTGTCCTGCTACCTTAAAGACTATGCAATCAGAATGCAACTGTGGTCCTGTGTGTGTGTGTGTGAGAGAGAGAGAGAGAGAAGGAGAGAGAGAGTTTCTGAGTGAGTAGCATGCAGAACTGAAGGGAATCTGACTTGCATTTAAACCCTGTGTTAGAGAAAAGATCAAAAAGGATTAGGAGAGGCATTAGAAAGTCAGGAGAATGCTAGTTTTTTCTTCTCTCACCCTGTCTCAACATTGAACCATCCTGTCCTCTGCTCTGAAGCCAACTTCAGGGTCAAACTCTGGTATTAAAGTCATCCCAAATGGCCCCTCACTGCAGCAAAACGGAGCTTCTCTTGTTCCACTTGAAGCACCAGATCCCGCAGGGATCGCTTTTGTGCCCCAGCAGAAAACCCCTCTGGGCCCCTTACGTAGCTGTAATAACCAGGCCCCAGCATCTGTGGCTCTTATGTGGCTGGAGTGGGTGTCGCTCGCCTGTCATTTACATTACACACTTACTGATGCTGAAAATGAAACAGCCATTGTTTGTTAAACGCTTCCTGGGTGCACCCAAGGGGGGGCAAAGCATTTTGCGGAGACAAGCCCCCGGGTGACAGGTGCAAGTGGCTTGTGTCTCAATGATGACTTGTGCCCCAGAGATGCCGCAAGTGTGCGGGTGCCTCCAGCTGGATAGCAGACGCACCGGGAGTGGTCGTCTGTGCGGGACGCTTCTCCCCTGGCCCAGGCACCACCTCCCTGTCCCCAGGCGAAGCGTCCTGCAGCGCTCAGCCTTGGGCCTTCAGAGCTGTGCTTTGTCCGGCCCAAGTCAGCTGCACTTAATTCCTCCCTGTGAGTGTTTGTGAGAGGAGGTAGCACGGCCCCTCATCTCCCCGGTTCTGCTGCTGCTAATTTTGTGATCCAGGATGGACTTGCAAAGGCTTCAGTTCATTTTTAGCGATCAAGGAAACGAATCTGCACTTCTCTTGGGTTCAGTTATTTCTGTGTCTTGAGTTTTTCCTCCTTTTTTTTTTTTTTTTGAAGATTTATTTATTCGTACAGAACTGGGGTACAGGTCAGAGATGCGGAGGGTGAGCGGATTCACCAGAGACAGAGGGGGGTGCAGAACAGGCAGATCGAGGGGAGCAGCAGGCGGGTCAGGAGAGGTCTGCCACGCCATGTGGTCACCTCCTGGGCGGGGATCGAAATCATGCAGAAGTGGTTAAAGCTTCTTTGTGCTGTGCTTTAACCCGCTGCACCACCAGAGAGGGCCTGCATCAGTATCTTTTAAGATGAATCATGTGGGTGTTCTTCACTTGAATGTGCCATCCTGGAAGTTGTAATATAACATCTGTGTGTATGTGACAGGGAGAGGTAGAGCAAAGGGCGTTTTCTGCTTCTCTCGACAACTGCTAGACTTGGGTGTCATGTCACATCTTTTCTTTCATAGAATGAACCTGTCATTCCAAAGGGCAGGACCTGCAGGGACCGCCTCTCTGCTGTAGAATGCTCTTAAAAGTCAACCCCGGCTGCAAGCATTATAATTATTTTCTAATCTATTCTTTTTCAATTCTGAAAAGAAAAACTACTTCACTCGATCCCTCCCTGCCCTCACCCTTCCAGATCTTCCTGATTATGCCTGAACTCATCTGTACGATGGTCCCCGAGACACGTGATGGTGACAGGGCCCATCTGTTTATATTTTCTCTCCAGACCTCCAGAGAGCACCTGGCGCGTAGATGCATGTTTGAGGCACATCAACATCTGTCTCTTGTAATCAAACATAATCAATCATGTAACGGAGTTACGGTCCCAGTGACATCTTCCACACGCCATCTAAAGTTAATATTTAGATTAAAGTAGCCAATTAAATCAATTTTGGAAGATAAATACTTTTCTAAAAAACCTGGACACAATTTAAGTGTGAGACACATTGAGACACATCTGTCTCCCCACCATATGTGTGTGTCAGGAACCCAGCAGAACTGGTCATGGAGTGGAGTTTTCTTCTTTTAGAGGGCAACCCCAATGTGAAGTGGGTTGCCTGGTTATGGGTCCCCACCCGTGTGCTTAAAGGATCTTGGAAGATTCAACTGCAGGCACACGCAGAAAGACTAGCAGTGGGTTTGTTTACAAGAGAAAGGAACATGAATAACTCAGGGAAAGAGAGAGAGAGAAGTTGGTGAGTGCGTCCTACCATTTCCGCTTGCTGGAACCCCAACGGCATATTGAGAGCCAAAGAAAAGCCAAGAGTCAAGCCACGAGCCAAGAGGCCAAGAGACCCCCACGCCCAGGTTTATACCAAACCTGGCTGTTTAACCCCACCCTCAGGTCCCAGAAATTCTCCCTGTGGTGATGCCGGGATTTGTCATTCCAGTGTCTGGGGTGGGGGTGGAGTCCACAACACCTCTCTCTGTAGAGTTCCTTCAGGACTTCTTTCCCCCCTAACAATTTGACCAGTGTGAACTGGGCAGCTTGGGCTCAGATTCCTTACCTGGTGTGGAACAGACCTGTAAGGTCACTTTCTTTAGTGATGTTGGAAACTCTCACCCATGAATGTTCCAATGCTTCTTTTCTGCTTTAGGGCCAAAGCATGTTGTTGTGAAGTTTGTGGTGAAGTTCTTTCCGCCTGACCATACACAACTGCAAGAAGAGCTCACCAGGTGAGTGTGTGCGAGGGGAGGCGCATTCTGTGGGGTGCCGAGGGGCAGGCAGCAAATGCGCCAGGCCGCATCTGTCTGCTCAGCAGCCTCAGCCCGAACCCCCTGACTGGTGCACACACATGGTGGACGTGGGCTGTGCCGGGAAGTGAACGGGGCTGGTAACCTTCGCCGTTAGATTTCCTCCCTTCTGACCCGCACAGCCCCACGGTTGTGAGATCTCACTTTGTGAGATCAGTATTTCGACCCAGGGGTTTCTCTTGGTTGCTGCCCTGTGGGTGGTGGACACGTGGCCTCAGACCAGGCCTGTCTGGGTGTCAGCTGTGTGACCTCAGTGCTCTCACCCCCCAAGCCTTTCTGCACTCTGCGTCAGGGCGACCATGTGCTTCCTTAGCCAGTGGTGTTTGCAAGATCAGCCCGTGACATTGGAGTGACCAGATGCCCATGGGGAGCTGTCCTGACCACTGTCACATACAGGGCCCCGCGAGAACACAGGAAGGTAAATGCCTCTGGAGTCCCGGGGCCTGGCACCTGCTCTTAGCACCCGTGTCTGAAGACTGAGGCTGTCTCCAGAGGACAACCATGGCTTTCTCCTGCCCCTCGCTAGAGACTGGGCCTGGGGTGCCGGCCAGCATCTGTCGAAGGACCGAAGACATCCCACCCAGTTTGCTAACTGCGAGCGTTTATTTGCGGGACCCGTGTGGTGAAGACAAGGCCAGGCTCTCGGGGACAGATATAATGATGAAGTGATACAGAAGAAAAGTCACATTGTCCCTGGGGCTTTACTACAATGAGTGTGCAGTACAGAAAAGGCAGAGTTTCTAAATCAGACACCCAAAGTGACCCAGCCCCTCGCGGGTAAAAGTCCACCCAAAAGGGATTGCTCAGAGCAAGGCCTGAAAGCTGCCATAGTCTAAAGCACCTTCTGGCCGGGACCCATGGAAAAGGGTCAGAAATGGCCAGACACGTCTGGGAGGAAAAGAGCAACATCACCATCAAGATAAACACTGCCACAGTCACCTCCCACGGGTCTCTCACCCACGTCTGTGTCACCCAGGGCCAGGAAACCAGAGCCGCTTCCTCACGTGTCTCTGCTCCCTGGGCCCCCTCAGGTCTCTTCCTGGCTCCTCCTTCCTTCCTCTTCTGTCTCCTCTCCAGATTCCTCTCCTCCCTGCTCAGCTCCACCCTCCCTTGGGTAGGGCAGGGGGTCTGGAACTCCCCTTTTCCTGGGGACCCCGTTACAGGGCACGGACTCCTGTTCCATGGTGAGGGCAAGGTCACACTCTTCCGTGGCTGTGTTTTCTCAGTAGTGGCCTCTAGTAGCTGAACTCCACGTAATCCCTCCCATCTGCCGTTCAGTGGGAGGTGGCGAGGCCTGGCAGGAGCCACGTGTCCTGGGCCATGCTGCTTGCTGAGAGGCCTCGCGGCAGCAGCGCCAAGGCAGGCAGAGCTGGCGGCTGGCACCGTTGGGCGGCCGAGGCTCGGTCTCTGGGGCTGATTTTCCTCTTGTCGGAACATGCATTGTTCCCAGCCCAGACTATTGAAATCAGCCTAAACACGGGTCACTGACTGGGCCTCTGTCCTGCTGAGGAAGCTGGCGGCATCAATCTTTTTTCCCTTCATTTCACCCTCCGCCTCTTACTGTGCAGCTGAGTTTTGCGCCTTTTCTGTTTTTGCGAATCGGTGTCTAGCGGTTTCTCGTTCTTTCCCATCCAAGTCTTGGTTATAAAATTCCATACAACTTGTTAGCAGCCCGCCAAGTGGGCCTGGCGACAGGCCAGCCGCCCCATCCGATCTGATGACTTCCTCAAGTTACACAAGCTCAGCTGGACACAGCAGGCATGGTTTTTGTTGTTTTTATTTTCTGGCTCCAGTGTGAACTGACATTTACAAAATCTTTTCAAAGAGGAGGACTCTTCTGGCTCGGGGGTGGGGGGAGGAATAAGATTGATGGGACTTTCAGAAGCTCCCTGTCGCTTTCCACGTATCATGAGGCCTCATGTGAGGGCCCTCCCAGATCCTCGGGGTTCACCTGTGCTCTCCAGTCCTGTATAAGCCGATGGCGCGGGCGGGCGTCGGGCAGATGTCTGTGTTCTTCGGGCGAGGTGGCGTGGACGAGAGCGGCCAACTGAGCTCCCCGTAGTGGGGAGCGAGTGACCATCTCTAGTCCTGTGCCTCCAGGAATGGCAGCTTCCTGTTCATGCAGATAGAAGATTAAATTGCCCTTCGTGGGCCGTCCATGGTAGTGCACCAGGTTAGGACGCAGCACTGCAAGCTGGCCGTGGCCGCTTCGGTCTGAGTTCGATCCCTGGCCCCAGAGCTGACCCACATGGTGCTGCAGACCTCCCCTGACCCGCCCGCTGCTCCCCTCAGCGGTGTACCTTGTCCATCTGCCTGTTCTGCTCCCCACTCTGTCTCTGGGGAATCCTCTCACCGCGCCTGTACCCCAGCTCTGTATGCGTAAATAATTAAATCTTTAAAAAAATTACCCTTTGTTCTTTGAACCAAACCCTGAATTCCTTTCTCTTTACTGAAGCTGCGCTTTTTGCTTTTCGTGGGGCTCTGTCCTGTTGACACCAGAGCCCAGGCCCTGGAAAAGTACCGATTCTTAGGTGCAGGTGGAAACAGCTGGGGAGGAGGCTCCGGGCAACAGATGCCGCATTTTCACAGTCAGAGTCCGGGGTAACTTTCTTGCGCTGCTTTCTTCAGGCACTCCTCTCTCTGGCCTCCTGACCAGTCAGGTCCAGTTTCTCCTTAACTGTGCTGCTCTTGGAAGTGGGCACCCCCTTCAGAATTTGCAGGACCCACTCCCATAGGCTAGGAGAGAGGGCGTGAGTAATGTGCATTGCCCACCAGGGGAGAGGTTAAGACCATCACTTGAAATAAGTGGGCTCATTTATCTTGTAATTTATGTTTGTAAGTTTGTATTTTGAACTGCAGTAACGGTAGGACCTCCACCTCCCATCAGCTGTCACCCCTGTAGTGCACCCAGCTCCAAATCACCCATACTCCACCCACACCCCCAGCGCTTGTCAGTGACACTTGCCTTCGAAGTAAACGTGCAGGTCTTCTGAACATTCCCAAAGCCCACAGGAGAGGTCAGCAGAGACCACCCCCTACCCCCCGAAGCCCGCCCGGCTCCATTCTCGAGCATGTTCCTGGTGGTGGCTTTCTGAGCACAGCACACCATGCGTGAACGAGCTCATGGAAGCACACTCAGAGTAGACTGGGCCTGGAGCAGCAGTAATGCACCTTCTTCTGTGAGAGCCGCCTGTGTAGATAAGACGAGAGCCCATCGTCCTGACCCGAGAGCCCATCGTTCTAACCTGAGCCCCTAGTCCTAGCCCGAGCCCCTAGTCCTAACCCGAGCCCATCATCCTAACCTGAGCCCCTAGTCCTAACCTGAGCCCCTAGTCCTA